AATGAATTTAAGGTAGTACTTCTGGTTGGGGGGGGGGGAGGGAGAGGAAGAGCCAAGACGTTGAACACGCAAACCGCACAGCAGCTGTAAAATTCTTGAGGTGGAGCGATTTGGTTGCTTGGCTGAGAAAACTTACCGTCTTTTTCTTGTTTGGCCGTCAATTTTGTGTACCGTAGAAAATTGGTGACTCGCCAACATCATGAGGGCCAGCAAGCCCCCCCCCAACCGAGTTGCCGCGTTGCCGCCCGTTATTCCGCCGCACTCTCGACGGTTACAAAACCGATGCTGTGTATCGTAGAAAGTTCGTGACTCGCCGACACAATGTGGCCCAGCAAAACCGCCCCCCCCCGACCGCGTTGCCGCCCGCTATTCCGCCGCCGCACTCTCGACGGTTACAAAACCGAATACGTGTACCTTAGAAGAAAAGTGACTCGCCGAAACCCAGCAACACCAACGCCCCCCATCTGTGTTGACGCCCCGTTATTGCGTCGCACTCTCAACGGTTACATATCACGCGTCCGTCGTTCGCTGGTAATGTGGTAAATTTTAACCAGATCGAGGCCGAGCGGCTGTCGCGTGTGGTCGGAATCGTGAACAGGCTGCGGCCCAAGTTCCTCCTGGTGACCGGGGATATGACGCACGCCCCCCCGGGTAACGAGTACTACGAGGGACAGGTGCGAGAAGAGAGATTAAAATATATATATATGGAAAAAACACCTCCTCCCTTATTCTGTTGTTTTTTGCTCTTAGCCTAGGATCATTTGAATGAAAGTATTGGATTTTGGATGAGGCCTCCAGCTCTGAGGCCGGCGGTCCCACCGATGCACTGCCGCACCGACGGCAGTTGGTGACGGCAGTTGGTGCGGCAATGAGTCTGTAAATGATCCATGAACGTTTTAGCCTAAACAGCAGGGAGGGGGGGGGGGGTGTACTCATAGTCGTGCATGCCGTAGTCGTTAGACCATTGACCTCGCATCCCTGCAAAGCCGGGACGGAGCACGCCGGGTTCTCACCGGACCAGGCTCTCTCATCACCAAGCGCGAAGCGCCGTGAGGTATTCGGCGAGTCGCATGAAGGGTGAGCTGCATCCTGCTAAGGGTGTTCGGCATCTTGTGCTTACTTGCGTACGGATGACAGCTACGTATGACTTAAATGTATTTTCTGGTGCTTTCACTTCCAGAGACAGTTGTAAGCACTGTGTAACTGCCTCGAGGATGCTTGACCATTCTAAGACAACGTGGTGCGATCATCCCCCGTTGCGCGGAGTGGGGGTTCTCCACCCCGCACAACGTGATCTACTCGACCACCATTATGATTGCCGCAAAAAAAAACAGGGGTAAAAAAAAAAAGCGGTAACCTGGTTGCCGAGTTTACGAAGTGATTGGCTTGTTTTACAACGTCGTTGCCAAGCGACGAAAACCCAATCCCGATGGCAAACACCGGGGGGGGCGGCTTGTTTAACAACGTCGTTGCCAAGCGACGAAAACCCAACCCCGATGACAAACACCGGGGGGGACGGCAGAGAGGTTGCGGGGTCTCAAATTTTCCGGTCCTACCCGGCGTGTTCTCGTAACCGAGGTAGGGAGAAAAGAGAATGATCAGTTGTGTGCTTGTATCAACATAAATCAAGGGCTGACATCTTCTTCCATATTTCGTTCCGAATCTTGGATTCATCTGTAGCCCAATTATACTGTAGTGTTTTTGCTCTTAGCCTAGGATCATGTAGTGAAAGTATTGGATTTTGGATGAGACCTCCAGCTCCGGCCTGCGGTCCCACCCAATATTTCCTGTTTGAAGTATTCTGTTTGACTACTGACCTGGAGCCTGGATGAATCAATCGCCCAAACTTTCGTGAATTTGAGTCCAAAAATGAACGCATCCTACGGCGGGCACACGTTGCAAAGTCTGCTTCAAAGGCCGGAGACAGCGACGCCTCGTTAGTGGCCGTGTAGTTGACCGCCCGCTCCCGAGCGGAGGAGGGTTGAACGTAGTACTTGGCCATGGACTCCGTTTTCCAACCTCCAACCTGCATTATCTCCTCTATCGCGGCACCGCCCATGGACCTGCTCAATTCCCCCCCTACTCTGAAAGAATGCATGCTACACTGGGTATGCAGGTCAGCCGCTCGCAGGTGCGCCTGGAGGGCCGATGTCATGAGGGGTGCCGTTAGTTTGGCCGGTTCACGGCTCCCGTCCTCCACCACCGGCGGGGACAGATAACCGGCCGACAAGTCCCCCATCGCAACGCTTGGGCGGCATCAATGTATTCCGCGACGGCTCTGACTGCGCAAGTGTCCTGGTTGTTGCCGGCGCTAGTGCGCACTACTACTGGTTCGGTCGAAGACCGCAAGGTCTTTCCAAACAAGAAATTGAACACGAAGCCTCCCGACTCCGCCGGAACACCTGTGACCCCAGTGTAAACGAGAGGTCGAATCCCCGGCGCATGGTGTTGTGCGCGAGCGCTAACAGGGCTGTGTCCCGCGTGATGGTGATGCGTTCGGCCGCCGTACCGGACGCCAGGGCTCGCAAGCGCATATGCGGCAGCAAGTCGCCGAGGGTGTTCTCCAACAGCGGCGCTGCCTGCTTGGTAGTCACCCCTACGCGCTTCTGCTCCTCGGTGGTGAACGTCCGCGGGGGAGGTGCATAGGTTGCCCAATCCCGACGTAGGGTTTCAGTCGTCCCCTCTGCCCAACAGCTCTTTATATGCCGTTATTCAACTTAGAAAAAAAATCGTTGCGAAGGACTCGGCAGCGTATCGCTTCGAGCACGTTGTTCCTGAGGAACAGCCCCGTCGATCGGGCGACCCCCACCCCCGCGCACGCGATATTGTGCACGAGCTTCGTCCCTTTCCCTTGCGAATCTAGGAAGCTAAACCAAAGAACGACGTCGTCCGGAGAGGCACTCGTCCACCCCCGGTGTCCGTCCGAGTACACACGCAGAAAGCGGTCGAAATCATCGGCAAACTCTGTGCTAGCGGACCTCGCCGGCGCGTCCCCGCATGGCGGTCTCCATCTGCGATCGGCCGGCGCGCTCGCAGTTTTGGCCGGTCGATAACGACGGATACCCCCGGCCGGAAGCCCGGGGAGGGCGCGGAACCAGCCGGTGGGGTACCACAGTCCCAACAGAAGTTGTATTGGGCGAAATTCTCCTGGTTCAATTTCGAGCACCGCGGGAACCGCCCTAGGGCTCGGACGGAATCGGCTCCAACAGCGTGTGTATTCTGCAATTACAAAGACGAGACCAAGAAACGGGTGTGGGTAGGCTGTCGACCGGCAACAGTGTATAACCAAGCGGACTTACTACCGACGAGAATCTACGTCGTACGCAACCATCGCCCAGCGGGGGTACCGCCACGATCGAAGCGTGCCCTCCGCCGAGGGCCACACATATACCCCACTCGCATTAACGCTGGCAACCTCGACGGAACGGGTAGATGGTAAGTGCACGCGAGGAAACCAGTATCCCTTGACGCCTGGGAGAAGTACTACCGCCCGCGCTCGACATTCCACCAGGTGTTGGACAACGTGCCCGCCCATGGCCGGGGGGGGGGGAAACAGAACCCTAACGCCGGCACCGCGCCGCCCGGTAAAACCGCCAAATCTTGCGCAAAGACATCTACCCCGGCCGACCCGGCACAGTGATACCGCGAAAAGAAAGGAAGAGTTGCTCCGGACAGAGGCGAGTGCTGCACGGACGACGTGCATGCCATCAAGTCTATGGTGAAGGGGCAAAACTCCTCCCACAGCATCCTGAACGCGGCGGGCTGCAACCGGATGATGGCGTCCCGCGATAGTCGAGAGATGGCACCCGCCACCCCGTTCTCGGCCGTAGGGGCCCACGTAAGGGACAAAACAGAAACCCATGTTCTACCGGAGGTCAAACAAGTGGATAAGCAAGTCATGCATGGCGCGGTTCTTGCCCCGCACACGGTTGAACGCGCCGACGACCGACTGGTTGTCGACGTCGGTGGCGACTTGGGCACGCCGAAGCCGATCCGGGTGTCGTTGGCAGAACTGTAGCAGGAGGTGGTACAGCGCGTGCATGTCCTTCTGGTTGATGTGCTTTGATAGCCAGTCAGGGGGAAACACGACCCCCGCTTCGAACGGGTCGGCTGCCGCGTACAGGGCGCCTCCGCTAACGACGAAGCGTCCGACGCCCCGTTGGTGATGGCGGCGGTGAAGCGCCGCGCGAGCTGCTGCGGTCCCTCGTGTGTGTTCGCCGTAGTGCGGAACCATTGGCGCATTTCGCCAACCAAGTCTGCGCTTGCATCGAGGGAAAGGTCCACGGCCCTCCGGTGGGACCGTTCGAGAGCTGCCAGCGCGGTGAACATAGCCTGGGTATACAGCGAAGCAGGCCGAATCGCTACCGCCATACTGGTGACCTTGTCGGCCACGCGTGGAAGCGCCCGAAAGGAGATGGTACCGGCGGCCAGGGCGTCCCGGAGAATGCGATCCACCGCGTCGAGCTTGTCTTGTGGCACTCGGAAGGTGGCTGTGGTGGAGTCACACCGCATGCCCAGGTATTTTTGGCCGGTCGTCGGTCGCCATTCACACTTATTTTCGGTGACAGAAAGTTGCCGCAAAAGTAAGAAACCAAGACGGAGATATGTGTCGCCTCGCACGCCGCGAGCCACTGCTCCCGCGCTCCCCGGCCGTGAGTGGAGGCGAGGTTGGTGAGGAAGGAGTCGTCCAGGTACGCCAACGCTGGCATCCCCAAAGAGCGGAGGAAGGCCGCCTTCGCCCCGCTGAGGGTGTGGTGAACAAACGGGCTGATACTAAGACCAAAAGAGAGGACGCACCAAATGTAGGTCACCCCTCCGTACTCAAACCCCAGCAGCGACTAAGACGACGGCCGAATCAGAATGTGGTGGAACGCGCTCGAATCATCGAATCATCGAATCATCGAGCGAGGTCGTGTAGCAGCCACGCTCCGCGCCGCTTGTTACTCGCGTGACGGTATCCATGGAAAACGGTATTCGTTTGAAGAACTGGTTGCCACGCCGTGCGTCATAGATGAGGCGGGGCTTGGTCTCTTCCACCGACAGCGCCATAATCAAGCGGGGTCGGGCCGGGCCCGCCGGGCCCTTGACGTCGTTCCATTTCGCCACGCACCCTCGGGCGATCAGCGACTGCAGTTCGGTCTCCACGAACCCAGCGAACTCCGACGGAATACGGTTGCGGAACACAGCGGGCCGGAAGCTAGACGCCTTGTGCGGTTGCTGGACGGACGGCCCTCGGTGTGAGTCGACCAGGAATTGCTGTAAGTTCACTCCATCCCGCAGGCACGGGAGAAACTGGTCCCGCAGCGGGTGGTTGACGAGGATAACGCCTCGCCAGAAGGCCACATGTCGGCGGGGCAGGCCCGGGACGAACAGCACTCCGCCATCGCCGGCGTCCCTGATAGGAGCGTGCCACGGCATCCACGCCAAGCTCCCGGTACCGTAGATGCGTAGGACGTCGGCCCATTCGGGGTTTTCAGCGGCAGCTGGTGCCGCCGCTTGCGCCCACGCTCGTTCGTCGTCTGGGAGATGGGGTTCTGACGGGAAGACCGACCGCACTCGAGCCTGGCGGCGGTCGAGGTGTTGGAGCCACGCATCGGCGTCTACCTACGAATCGCGCGGGAGAATTGCAACGGGCGGCAAATAGACGTTTGCCCCGACGAGCCGCGGCGTGAGGTGACGGTACGAGCTCCGAAGTGTATATATATTCCCCGAGGTGACGTCGGTTGTGATTTCGGGGAATCCGATGAGCAGCCGGTATCGATGTGACGGATTGAGGTGGCGCAAGTCGGGTACACCGGGCAGCCCCCAGGCACACGGCGGGCCGCCACAACTCACCACGACTACGCAATAAGGCTACAGCACCGGATTCCGGGCGATTACCGAGACTATGCAGCTATCCAGGCTGGGAGCCGAGAAAACATGGCGCAGCACAGACACGCGCAACGCAACGTCGGGGGCACTCCTGCTACAACTCAAGACGAGGTCTATGGTTACGGAGGTGGCCACCTTGCGGTTGCGGGTGTGTCTATGCTACGCATGGTTGTGTGGGTGAATCTACAATCCTGACAATGAGGTCCCGTTGGGCGGGGGGGGGGGGGGGGGGCCGGGGGGTTTTTTTTTTTTGGGGGGGGGGACCCGGGAAACCAAAACCGTGGTTTCCCCCCCCCCAAGGGGGGGAATTTTTCTGGGGGCCGGGTGGCCCCACGGGGGAACCAAAAATGGGCAACAAAACACGGGGCAACCCCCCCCGGGAAGTGAAAACCACGGGGGGCCCCCCCCCCTGAAAACAATCGGGGGGGGAAGGGATGGGCCCGGCCCCCCCCACCTCCAATCAAGGAAACCCCCATACCCCCAAGCCCAGGAAAAATACCGGACCGCTCCAGCCCCCAAAAGCGGAGCCAAAGGGAACAAGGTTTAATTTGGCCGGCCCAAGGGCCCCCCTCATGTTTTTGCTGGCCGAACTGTTTTACCATTGAGCCCCCCGCCCCCCGAAGGGGAGGGGCAATTTTAACCGGCCTCGGGGGGGGGGGAAAGGGAAAAAAATTTTGAATTTCCCCCCCCCCGGGGGGGGGGGGGGGGGAAAAAAAAAACCCCCCC